TACACCAAAAGGCCGTGAGTTCAATTTCTGGTCTGGGAAAACAACCAGGTTGCAGGGTGTATATGGGAGGGTGCATATGGGAGGCAACTGCTAGGTGTTTCTCTTTCTTTCTCCCCCTCTCTCCCTCCCTCCACCTCCCTTCCTCTCTTTCTGAAATTAATTAAAAATATATCCTTGGGTGGCGATTTTTTTAAAAGGTTGATTGATTGATTGATTGTTAAGAAAGGGGCAAGAAGCTGGAGGTGGCTGCCCCACCATCTTCTCCTTCCCCCGGAGCCTGAGCATGGCACAGCCCTCACCACTGATCAGAACGCCTTTGAAGTGTTTGCTGAGGCAGGTGAAGGCAGGGCTCCTCCCTACCTCTCCTCATGCAGCAGGTGTGATCAGCGTCTACAAACGCAGACGTGCAAGAGTTACTGCATTTTTAAATGTTCTTTCACTGAACTTGATTCCTACCCCCAACCCCTGCACCAGAGTGCTGATGAGAAATAGATCCCGTCTCCCAAGGGATCTATGCAAAAGTCCTAGAAACAAGGTACAAGAGAGGCTTCTTACCTGCCCATCCCCCATCCTGTCACTGGACATCAATGTCTCACCAGTGACTGCTGTGGCCCCTGTGATTCCAGCAGGTCCTGGACTCCCAAACTCTTAGCTCTTTTTTTTTTTTTTTTGAGACTCTGGAATTTGGTTACTGACCTTGGACCTGGTTTCCCCAGATACATCCCAGAGCCATCTACTCGGGTCCTGCCACTGGCATCATCACAGGACTAGAGCACATTGTCCACGCTGACCGTACCTCCATCCCCTTCCGCTGTCTTAAAAATCTACAAAACCCTCCCTGAGTGCAGCCTCTTCAGGGCATAACCTCTTCCCAGACTTGCTTTCAACTTTTTAAAGATAGAATGGCCTTTGACATCATGATGCCTCTTCTCTCAGCCCTGCCAAAACCCTTGCTTGTTTTAAAGAGAAAAGACACACATATGCAGAACAGATAAAACTTTGTATTTCACTAAATTCTCCTACCACACTTGCATGCCTGGTATTTACCTCAAGCCCTGTCTTGAGCAGGCATACAGTATGCTATTTATGCATCAGAGAATGAGTAGTCACTCTCCTTGTCTGCCTTCCTGTTCTTTCTTCTTTCTGTAAGATGTGTGATTTAAAACACAAACAAAAAAAAAACCCCACTTATAATATGTACCATTTATTTATATAATTTAGATAGTTATATGAAGGCTTATTCAGAATAGTATCCATTTACTCCAACTTTTAACTCAAAGCTACTTCTTCTAGGAGTTAGTGCTATATGTCTAGACTAAAGGCCCGGTGCACAAAATGGATCAATAAAATATATTTATTAAAAAAAAAAGATGTCTGTATTCCTGTTCTTTCCTCTTTCTGTAAGATGTGTGATTCAAAATACAAAACAAAAAAAATCCCACAAATAATATGTACCATTTATTTATATAGTTTATATAATCATATAAAGGCTTATTCTGAATAGTATCCATTTACTGCAACTTTTAACTCAAAGCTACTTCTTCTAGGAGTTAGTGCTATATGTCTAGACTAAAGGCCCAGTGCACAAAATTCATGCACTCAGGGTGGGGAGTGGGGGTCCCTCAGCCCGGACTGTGCCCTTTCACAGTCCGGGACCCCTCGGGGGGATGTCTGACTGCCGCTTGGAGGCGGGAGAGGCTCCCGCCACCACCACTATGCTCACCAGCCATGAGCCTGCTTCTGGCTGAATGTCGCTCCCCCTGATTAGTGCACTGGCCACCATGGGGAAGCTCCTGCATTGAGCGTCTGCCCCCTGGTGGTTAGTGCACATCATAGTGACAGGTCGTTTCACTGTTTGGTCGATTTGCATATTAACCTTTTATTATATAGGAACTTTGTTCCTACCTCTGTTTCTTGATTTATCTATTTTAAACAGTACCAACTGACTGTGTAGCATAAAGAAAAAAGGAGAGTTAGCTCTCTTACCAACCCTCCTCTCCTGTCACCCTATCCTAAAATATACTTATACCACTATAATTGGATCATGATCAGAATTTACATTATTATGACCATAAAAATGTCCACTGCAGAGTAGTGTACTACTTTTCTTTCTTTTCTTTTCTTTTTTGTTGTTGTTGTTAATCCTCAACTGAGGGTATTTTTCTATTGATTTTTAGGGAAAATAGAAGAGAGAGAGAAAGACAGAGAGAAACATCGATGCCAAAGTAACACATTGATTGGTTGCCTCCTGCACTAGCCCTGACCAGGGTGCTGGCTGAGGAGGAGCCTGCAATCAAAGTACATACCCTTGACCAGAAGGGAACCCAGGGCCATTTGGTCCGCAGACCGACACTCTATCCACTGAGCCAAACCGGCAAGGGCCCTTTGTCACTCACCTTTTCATTTTTCTTAAAAGTTCTAATTGTTCTTTCTTTTTAAAAAAAATACCTCTATCTGCCATTATCAGGGCCTCAATATTTTTCAAATGCTTCATTATATTAGGATTAAGACTTAATGTTTAAAATACTATGTAATAGAAAAATATAATATGAGTATGTTTATAACCTTGAGGTAGAAAAGAACTTCTTAAACAAGACATAAAACCATAAAACATAAATCATAAGGGAAAAGCCCTGGCCAGTGTGGCTCAGTTGGTTGGAGTCGTCCCATGCAACGAAAGATTGCTAGTTTGATTCCTGGTCAGGCCACATGCCTGGGTTTCAGGTTTGATCCCTAGTAGTGGGCATGCAGGAGGCAGCTGATCAATGTTTTGCTCTCACATCAATGTTTCTCTCTCTCTCCCTCTTCCTTCCTCTCTCTCTAAAAATCAATTTTAAATTGTTAAAAAATATAAATCATAAGGGAAAAGATCAACACCATTAAATTAAAAGACAAGTAGGAGTTCAGGGTAAAGATAACAAATTAAACACATGCTTATATTCAGTCCTTCCTGAGCCCCAACTAAATCGACAGTAACAGTTTCTGATGTGTGTTTGTGTGTGTAGACATAAATCCACAAGAACCCAAATGGGAGATGAGATAAATGTAACTCTCCAAAAGACTGCTGCTTAGACAAGTAAATATTTCAGTATAAAGCAAAAAAAAAAAAAGATATAAATTTGGAGGACTTCCAATGCCTTGCTCATGCATACAGTAAAAACATTTTACTGAATACTAATGGTTGATCCTTATAATTTTTTCTACTTTTCTTTTTACATTTCTAGTAGTATTAACTGTGTTCCTGTTGAACACCAGCATACTAGTATTTACAACATTAGTAACAAAGAAACAGAATTTCCGGAGGATGAGGCCCAGAAATCAGGATTTTAAAAAGATTCCCAGGTGATTCTAATGTGCAGCCAAGGTTGAGACCCACTGCTTTAAAGGCTTCTTTGATACGAACGTAAGGATGAACCAGGCTACCGAGATCTCCCAGAATTACAGATCATGGAAACACATTCACCTGAGTCATATGAACCTGAAACTAATCCTAAACTAAGCAACCAGATTTCTTAACACTGCTCACCCCACCCCCATGATACCTAGACCACACTTCCATTCTTTACTCATCAATCCAGTCCTTTAGGACATGATCACCAGTGATAGTTAGGTTCTTGCTTTTAAAAAGTA